TTGGCGGGTCCGGGCTGGGGATTCGAACCCGCCACCTTAGGTGTACGTGGCTGGCGCCTTAGCCGGTTGAGCTATAGGTGCCGAGCCCCCTGTACAATTTCTTTGGCTTCTTAGCCATTTAAAGTTTGAAGGATTTGCCCCTGTATAATTTCTTAGTGGCTTCAGTTTGTTGAAGCTCTTTCTCAATTGCCTGCAGTCCAGTGACCATTCACATCTTTTGGAAACTATAAGCAGTATCAAAAGGACTAGTAATGCATGAGGTTTATCAATAAAACAAGTTATGGTTTGAGAAATATTGTGAAATAAAATTGTAATCCGGGTTCGGCGCCTGTAGTTCAAGCAGCTAAGGAGCCAGCCATATACACCAGAGCTGGAGGGGTCAAATCCAGGCTAGGTCTGCCCAAACAACAATGACAACTACAACCAAAAAAAAAAGAAGAAAAAAAATAGCTGGGTGTTGTGGCAGGTGCCTATAGTCCCAGCTACTTGGGAGGCTGAGATAAAAGAATTGCTTAAGCCCAAGAGTTGGAGGTTGCTGTGAGCTGTGATGCCACAGCAGTCTACCCAGGGTGACAGCTTGACACCGTGTCTCAAAAAAAAAAAAAAATTTGTAATCTGTTTTTAAAATCGGAAATTGGACAATAATGGGTTGTCTGATTTATAAAGAAACATTTAGTACTTTTTCTCTGAACAGTAACCTGTAAAACTTTTTTTTTTTTTTGAGACAGAGCCTCAGGCTGTCTCCCTGGATAGAGTGCAATAGCATCGCAGCTCACAGCAACCTCCAACTCCTGGGCTCAAGCAATTCTCCTGCCTCTGCCTCCCAAGTAGCTGGTACCACAGGCGCCTGCCACAGCACCTGGCTATTTTTTGGTTGCAGCTGTCATTATTGTTTGGCGGGCCCGGGCTGGATTCGAACCAGCCAGCTCAGGTATATGTGGCTGACGCCTTAGCCACTTGAGCCATAGGTGCCGAGCTAGCCTGTAAAACTTTTAAAGATGAATATTCTTATCTGTGCATACTTGTATTGTATTTCTAATAAAATTAAATAGCTAGTGTGAAAAATATATTAAGTACTTAAAAATTGAAGAACAAGGGCAGGTGTGATGGCTCACATCTGTAAGTTTTTGCTCTATTGTTGCATATAATCTTTTCTTTTCTTTTTTTTTTTTTTTTTTTGAGACAGAGCCTCAAGCTGTCCCCCTGGGTAGAGTGCCGTGGCATTACAGCTCACAGCAACCTCCAACTCCTGGGCTCAAGCGAGTCTCCTGCCTCCGCCTCCCAAGTAGCTGGGACCATAGGCGCCCGCCACAACGCCCGGCTATTTTTTGGTTGCAGCCATCATTGTTGTTTTTGGCGGGTCCGGGCTGGGGATTCGAACCCGCCACCTTAGGTGTACGTGGCTGGCGCCTTAGCCGGCTGAGCTATAGGCGCCGAGCCCATATAATCTTTTCTGAAACAAAAAGATTGAAAGCATCACTCAGACATATAAAGAGATTTCCGAGGCCTGGTGCAGTGGCTCACACCTATAATCCCAGTGCTTGGGAGGCCGAGGCGGGTGGATTGCCTGAGCTCATGAATTTGAGACCAGCCTGAGCAAGAGAGAGACCCTGCGTCTAAAACATAGTGGGGTATTGTGGCAGGCGCTTATAATAATCTCAGCTGCTTGAGGAGGCTGAAGCAAGAGGATTGCTTGAACCCGAGAGTTTGAGGTTGCTGTGAGCTAAGATGCCATAGCACTCTACCAAGGTTGACAAAGTGAGACTCTGTCTCAAAAAAAAAAAAAAGATTCCTGACCTTTAAGATTGATACCACTTCTGCCAGTTGTGATAAAGAGCTTGAATACAGTTGAATTGGGTGTATTGGTGAGGTAAGTCTTGAGGTCATAACTGAGCGTTAATCTTGATGATGCATTGACCACTACCTGTCAGCAAAACAAAAGAAAATGTGTACTTATGTTCTTAGAGAATCTGGTTCCCTCCCTCTTCACCCCTCATAACTTACTATAAATAAGCAAAAGCTTCTGTTCCATACAAATACGAATTGCCACCCTTCCACCACGGCAGCCATTGGAGTTTCCAGCTGCTGTCGCAGCCATGGCTCTGCACTACCCCATGGCCATGGGTCTCAACAAGGGCCACAAGGTGACCAAGAACGTGAGCAAACCGAGGCACAGCCGCCGCCACAGGCATCTTACCAAACACGAAGTTTGTGCGGGACATGATCCAAGAAGTGTGTGGTTTTGCCCCATATGAGCGGCGTGCCATGGAGCTGCTCAAGGTTCCCAAGGACAAACGGGTCCTCAAGTTCATCAAGAAAAGAGTGGGGACACACATCCGTGCTAAAAGGAAGTGGGAAGAGCTGAGCAACATCCTGGCCACCATGAGGAAAGCAGCTGCCAAGGACTGAAAGCCCCTTCCCTTGTGCACAATAAAACCTTTATAGATAAAAAAACAAGTATGAATTGCCTTTTTTTTGAGACTGAGTTTCACTATGTCTCGCTCTCAGTAGAGTCCTATGGTGTCACAACTCACAGCAACCTCAAACTCTTGGCCTTAAGCAATTCTCTTGCTTCAGCTTCCCAAGTAGCTGGGATTACAGGTGCCTGCCACAATGCCTGGCTATTTTGTAGTTGTAGTTGGGCTGGGCTGCATTCGAACCCACTAGCTCTGGTGTATGTGGCTGGTGCCCTAGCAGCTGAGCTACAGGTACAGAGCCTATATTGTAGGTGTTTTATACCTGTTAAAATTCCTCTTATGAGGCCGGATGTGGTAGCTCACACCAGTAATCCTAGCACTCTGACCTTAATTTATCTGTCTTTGTATGACCTGTACCTTCCCTTGTATATAAAGCAAGTGTTTAATAACAGTAATAGAAGATGATAATATGGCCTTTTCCCCAAGTCTTCATATCTTCAATTTAAATGTAATATACTGTCCATTTTCCTTACTACTACCATAGGATTTTTTTTTTTTTTGAGACAGGAGCCTCAAGCTGTCCCCCTGGGTAGAGTGCCGTGGCATCTCAGCTCACAGCAACCTCCAACTCCTGGGCTCAAGCG